TTGGTGAATGCCACAAATTCTCCTAAATCACTCGTACGCACAACTTAAGAACAAATCTGTGCGTACGAACGGTTCTTGCATGAGGCCCAATATACTTAATAAACTACATTTTTCTTGAGCTTTTTTAAACTCATAAAGGACAACCAAAACATCCTGCAGACAACCAGATCTTGTTTTTGAAAAATTTCCTTGTCTTCCCCTGCTAGGTAGTTTGGACGAACCTTCTTTACGCTCTCCTTTGCCCATGAGGAAGTCCTCTGTGTATGGCGTCATGTCGAGGCGCAGGGGGAAGGAGAAATGTGTGTTCACTTTCTCCTTCATCATGGTTACCATGTTGAATGTGTACCTCATTGTGTTGAAGCTCAGRATGCGTGGCAGTTTCTTGAAACAAGCTCTGTGTGAAGACGATAATCCATTAGATTGATGTGACAGACGACTYTATTTTGTAGTAGTTTTTTCATTTTAGCAGCGTAGATTTATTCACACCTTTTTTCTGCTCGGACCTTCTTGCCACACTGTGAACACGTGTACATGTTGTCACCCTCCAGAGTGTCTTTGATGGTCACCTCATCCAAAGACTCCTGAAAAAAAATGTGAGTACAAAACAGAAGTGACCCAAGAACTGGAGTTCATTTGGACTCTGCTGAAGATTTGTGGTCCTCGTACTCACATAGATGTTCTTCATATCTGCCACTTGACATCTGACTGTGTAAAACTCTTCTGCAGTCTGACTGACATGGTCACAATCCTAAAAATACAAAACATAGTCGAATGAAAACAGTTAATAAATTAGAATACATTATTTTACTTGCTTCATTGTAGTGGAAAAATCAAGCAGGTTTATGCTGAAAAAAAAAGTGAAAATGACTTTAATCCTCCTGATCAATAAAAAACAGGTTCTTACGTTTCYTATTTTGAAATTCCAAACATTTCCAGACTTTAAATTCTGTATTTGTTACATAATATTTGCTGTAAATGAGCAATATATTTTCTAGACTTTACAAAAATGGTGTGCAACAGTGAACAACAACCCTGTGAGAAAATATTTTTTTTCTATTGTTGTGATTTTGTAAAGTCAATCACTCAAAAAAAATTTTTTTTTTGTTCCTGCTCTCGGAGTAGTAAGACACTTGTTCCCTCTCTCCTGCCCTCCCTTATTTGCTGCTAGGAGCCTCCTCTACGTTTTCATCCAAATCCGAAAATTATGGATTTATTTTTATGGATTTGGTTAGCTGGTCTTTTTATAAATTTTTGGAACAAAAGTTTATTTTAGTTTTTCCATGGGAGGACATGTCAAAGGTGGGACCTCTGTTCTGCTTTGTTCAACTAGCTGGATATACTGTATATTTGGATTCTGATCACTGGATTCTACAGATTGGCTTGGTGGTCTCCTGGTGTTCTACAAAACAGCGTCGGTGGCTATTCAGGCCATTTCCTGGCTGTCTGACCAATATGAAGGATTGCCATTCTTTCAGCACTCAGACTTTTGCCTTGAGCGAGCTGGACTCGGTCTGCATGCGGTTCTGCTGAGGGTCGCRGGCCGGCTGTGGTTCCTGGACTTCGCTGACGAGATGGAATTGATCTTGGAGAAGCTGTGAGCTCGGCTCGGCGGAATTGTCCACATTATTTGTCTGATTGGATTCGCCAACTTGAGAGGTACCAGTGGACATTAAGGCAGATGGAAAATTGCTATTCTGTCTGACCGAAAACATTTCTTCTGTTCCCAAACAACTGATTACAGATTGTCTCTCCCCACCCATGCTGATATTGGGGTTGTGGATCTAATTTTTCCGGGGTGGTTACGTCGACTGCGGCTCCTCTCACACATCTCCCCCCACTCACTCCATCTAATCTGATCTCCTGAAGGTCAATCTGGAGCTGCACAGAATGAACAATTCAACAYCAGTATTCTGAACTTGGCCGAACTATGGGTTTTTCTTTGGGAGGCTGGGTTCTTCGGACTCATTTCCTCTAAACTCACTTACTCCTCTGGCTAATAAAAATGTAATTTCATTGTGCTCTGTACAATGACAATAAAGGTCTATCTTAATAAATGTGCTCTTGCTTGTAGAGGTTTTTTATAAACACCATAGTGTATCATATTTCATTGATATAATATGATGTTTTGTTTTGTCCTCATCTAACCTTCTTTTGTATCGGGTGAAGTCTTGAACTACAACAAGAGCTACATCTCTCTCAAGATCCGAGATGGCAGCGGTGGCGGTAGATGTATGTAAATATGAGAAGTCTTGTACCTAAACTGGATGAATTCAAAGTAATACTTGCTCAGACACAAGCACATGTTATGGCTATATCAGAATCATGGCTGACTCCTGCTAAACCAAATTCTTTCTTTCAGTTGAAAATTATTCATTGTAACGATACAATGAATAACAGAGACCATACTGATAGGCTTGGAGGTGGTGTTGCAGTTTATGTTCACAAGAAATACTCATTCTATAATAGAATTGTCAACTG